CTAGCCCTTGCGTCACTAGAGTGGGTGTCAGGGGAGCGCTGGATGTCTTTGGTGTTGGCAGTGGGGTGTGGCAGGAAGGGGCAACTTCATCAGACGCCCGTCGTTGGCCACCCTAACCAACCCTTACCTCTTGGGGAAGGGCACCTGCCCTTTTGAGGGTTGTCCTGGCCCTAGGCACTTGGCTGACACCTTTGAAGCTTCTGTCCCAGGAATGGAGGGGAGAAGCTACTCTGGTGGGAAGAACCCCCCTCCCTTGTAATCCTGGTACAATCTGTTTTCTGGGAAATGAGTTTTTTTTTGGTGGGTCTCAGGCTACTCTGGAAAGGAGGGATGCATCCTATGCGTCCCCTCCCACCCTAGCCGTGTCCTTTTGTTACTCTGTTTTCACTTGGGAAGAGGGGCTGGCGCTGGGCTGTGCCTCCTAAGAGGGGCGCTGATGAGAACCCTGGGGTCCTGGCAGCCTGCACACCTTCTCTCCTCACAGTCCCCTGACTGGATTCAGGCTCCCCTGGAAGGGAGGGGCTCTGCACTGGCGGGAGCTGTGAGCACCTGGGGTGCACACCTGGGTGTGTTTATATCGGGCTATGAGGTAGTGTACCTGGGTGGGGGAGAGCGGTGCTCAGGGGATTAGTGTTACTTGGCTCCGGTTTCGTCCTCTATCTACCCTGCTTGGGGCTCAGCTCTTCCCTGGGGTTTCTCCCACCTTCCTGGACTGACTGCTCCCTGCTGCCTGCCAGGGGGGAAAGGAAGAGTGGGTCTCTGGGGACCTGGTGGCTTGCAGAGGGTTGAAGGGCAGCCCCCAACCTCTTTGCTCCAGGAAGAGAGACCTGGTTTGGAGAGACACCCCCCTCTGCCCCTCTCAGAGCCACCTCACCCCTAGCCTTTCTGTTGTCCTGACCTTTGCCTCTGGGGCAGGTTGGCTGGAAGGCAGCTGGCTGCAGACGGTGGGAGGGAGGGAGGTGTGAGCAACGGTTGACTTTGGGGAAAAAAGGGACCGTTGAAAGGTGTGACACCAGGACCCTTCTTCCCATCCTCCCGGAACTGGAGGAAGGTGACCCCTCCTAAGTGAGGTAATTGGGGCATGGCTGCCAGGGTCACTCCCTCCACAGCCTTGGCCTCCTTTGCCAGAGGACTGGGGGAAGCTGGGATCTCTGAGAGCTTGGGCTCTGGCCCTTGGGGGCAGCTCTGCTCTTCCTGGCCCAAACTACAGGAGGAGCATTGAGTCCAGCAGGCCATGGGGAAGTGGAGGCTTGTTCCCCACAGGGTGGGGTGGAACTAGAGGCCTGGGCTCCCCTGTTCCCATGGTGAGAGTGCAGGTGTGTGGCAGTGAGCACAGCCCCCAAGGTTGGGATGGTGGCTGTGGGGGTGGTTGTGGGGCACAGGAAGGACCTAGAGGCAGAGAGTAGCAACTTGTCCAGGTCTAGAGTACACGGGGTCTCTCCCCAGCCCCTTGGTGTGCCTGTAGGTCCTCTGGAGACGGGAACCCTCCAGCCCCCTCACACCGAGTTCTCTGCTCCCTCCTGCCACCTCCACCAATGGTGAGAAGAGAGAGCAGGTTGGCCGTGGGAGGAGACCTTCCAGATCCTGCAGGGCCCCGGGGATATTGCCTCCCTTCCCAGAGCCCCTGTTGCGGGGCACCAGAGGACAAGGGGTACACAGGATGTGGCTCTCCATCTGTCCCCCACCAATCTCGCAGCTCACGCCTCCGCCCGCTTCCAGACGTCCAAGAATGTGAAGCACGTGGATGCCCGTAGTTGGGGGAGGGGGAGAGATGCTTATCGGTGGCCGCTGGGTAGGGGCCTTCTTCCGCCGCGGCCACGCTACACCCAGAGCTCC